TCCGATAGTAAAACTTTTCTGTTATGTAGCGTACTTATTATTTACTTTATATTAACCTTAAATCATTATTATTCGTATGTTCAGGCCTGGATTGCAAGTGTGTTTATATAGAAATAGACTCGTATATGTGCATATGCGTCCATACACGCATATGTACATACGCGCGCCCGTAAATGTATATATGCCATATAGAATCATAAAAAATTGCGGCATAATAAGTTAATTATATAGAGTTTTACAATTTTATTATTAATTTTTTTAATTATTAATTAGCCTGTTTTTAAAGTGTATTTCATTTATTTAGTTTATCATTGAAAATAAAATAGTGTATAATTATGAAATCGCGCTTATCTGGAATATTGTCGTTCATGATACAAACTCTCGCCATTTTACTCGAGGTAGTGTTTTTGATTACCTTTTCACTATTTCATAACGAACAATATTATTTTTAAAAAGTAATATGTTGTTTTAATTTAATAATTATAATTTATTGGCATAACATAGATTCTTTTAAAAATACCTTAATAATTATTTCAAAAGTTACACATTTTTAAATATTAAATAAAAACGATAATAATGTTACAATCTAATTCGTATTAATTTAGAGATAATTTTTATGCGTTAGATTTTTCTTTTATAACCACTAATACTTAAATATATATATATATATATATATATATATATATATATATATATATATATATATATATATATATTATATATATTTTTTTTAGCTACTTATATAATTTTTGTTCTATATGAAAACAAAAATAAGCTACGTGGATCATCAACGAAATATCCAGAAGGAAAGCACGATTACTTGTTACGTTTTATCACTTTAACGCTTTGCTATTGAGTGTTTGTAGTTTTTTAAAAACATTTTCTCTATTAATTATCATATTATATTCCTTAAACATTTTTTTTTCTTATCAAAAGTATCTATAACGTATAAGAATTACGCATTTTTTTCATTATTTCACTATTATCATATATATTTAAAGTTAACATAACTACACCTGAAGAGCATAACAATTTTAACTAAGTAATTTCATTATTTCTTATGTTTCTTAACGAAATAAGATATATTAAATAGAAATTTTTTTTATCAAATTTACTTAAAATGTATATATCCAGTTATTAAATTATCCGTATGATTTAATTATTTTATTTTCCTTCTATATGTATATATAATACAAATGCATTATTCGTGAATAAAAAATGATTTCATTGAAATAAAAATATTATATTTCTGATTCTATAATAATATGAGATAAATATTATAATATAAAATAATAAAATTATATTTATTTTGCTCGCATTAAGTACAATGTTAATCATTCTGAATTTAAAAATTTTCATTTGTAACATTCCTATAAAATGATTAATTTAACAAGTAAATTCTGTTTATAATGAATTTTAAATCTTTTTTGTTTAAAAATACAAATAATAATTACTATAAATTTTAGAAATTCTTATGTAATAAGGAGTTTTATAAATATTTTAATTAATTAATTATTAGTCAAATATATTATTAAATCACATACTTAAAAATATTAATAAAATCTACTTTTACGAAAAAAAGCTTATTACCTTTTTTTAAAAATACATGTGTAATTAACTAACTGCTTTTTATATTTCATTAAGAGGAGCGCTTTAACAATTGGAACGTTGAAAAATATTTATTAAGACATAAATTAAAATGGCACGAGAATTTTTAAACATTTGTAATTTTATTAAATGTAAATAATTGTATATTAAAAGAAAACCAACGAAAGAACTTTCAATTTAGAAATTTCAGTTTATATTAAATAGCTCAATGTATTATGTGTAAAGTAAGTTATCAAACCGAATTTATAATCAGGCTAATTACGCGAACAAATTTTAATACCGATAACAATCAAATATTAAATCATTTTGAATTCTGAATAATTCATGTTAAATACATAATTAATTTACATAATTGATGAAATCGTCGAAATATTAAAATCTTTATATTTTTATTTTCTTGGTTATAATTTAATATTCTTATTATCGTTATTGTAATTAAAAATTACAGATTATTATAACAGAAAGAAATTTAATGTCCATAATCAATTTAAGATGAATTAATTTTATCATTTACTTTAATTAAATGCATAAAAATATTCCTCGTTACAAATATAATTTTTTTTTCTCACTTAACATCAATTAAAAATCAGTATCTATACAAGTTTCTTAATTACTTTGCTTTTTAACCTCTGTGGTTATATATATTTAATGTAGAATTGATTTGATATTTTGCCAATAATTATATGTAGAGACATTGTATATATTTCAATTTTTACTTTTATTTAAAAATTTTAGTCTGCATGAAAGAGTTAATATTAATTTCAATTTTGGCATTCGAACGTTTTATATATTTTACCTTTTATAAGATTGTTTTAATATAATTTTTATTCATTAACTTTAATGCAAATTACAGAGGAATTTAATCGTCTCCAGACAATGATGCATTACATTTTTTATTAAATTATTTTGCTCTTCAGGTAATAATATCATTAAAAAATCATTTGTCAAAATTGATTTCTTTTAATGAAACCAACATGAAAGTCGATGTGTGGGACTTAATGTTTCTATGTATAAAAAATTATTAGAAAAACATAGTTTATGAACTATTTAAATCTTTCTTAATAAAAGAGATCATATGAAATATTAAAAGTCTATGAAATTCACTATTTACATGGTGTATGTGATGTTCTCTTCCAAAATAAATTTTAATAATGACACTTTAGATCTTACAAGGTCAATATAAAGATACTCGTGTTTCAAAACTGCAGCTGAGGGACTTTTTAAGTACATAATCTCAATTGAGTACGCGTACGTTGTAATATAGTGAAATCGATTGGCGCAGCAATGTAACCCCAATGCCACCCTTTAACTAAGTCGTTAGGCGATTCCAAGCTTTCAGTATCGAATTAGTCGTTAGAAAATTATTACATCGCTTCAGAAATAATAAACGCATGCTATTCGTCAAATCAAATTTTCATGTTACGATAAAAAATAATTATTTTTCTTTTACATTCTTTATAATAAAATTTCTAACCATACAAAAGCTTTAATAAATAAGCAAATAAATAAACAAATAAATAAATAAATAAATCAATTAATTAATCAATTAATGAACAGCTATTGATTGTTACGACTTGGCGTAATAGTGATAACATAAAATAGAAAATGTTTTATTAAAAATTTGCTCGCATTTTCAGAAAATTATTTGATAACGAAGAGCTATCGTTGGGAAAGTGTTTTTAATTAAGCTTAAATATCAATAAATCTGAATAATTAATATTGTTTAATAATCCATAAAAACTTTAACGTTGATAAAAAAATGAAATAAAATCGGCTCATTACTCTGTTAGTTATTTTAATTTTTCTAATCAAAATTTTCTCTTATTGGCCAATTTCTTTTTAGTTATTATTTAATATTCATAAAAAAATGTTACCATACATTGTCATATGATTTTTAAGAAAAAATTATAGTTATACTCAAGTGTTATATAAGTAAAGGTTTCGCGAGTATTCGCATGTGATTATGCACACATAGTTTTATTAATGTTATTTTCTTTAAGGAGAATTATAAAATGAAAACTCGTTGTTTTTCTGTACTGCCTTCTTATCTATATTTCTCTTCTCACAAGAGAATATTTGATGATATATTCTATAATATACGTCATTCAGTTTGAAAGTTACATATGTACCTTAAAACCTTATTATCGTAAATGCACTGCATTCATAAAATGTTTTTGTTTAATAATTTTCTTTAGATATATTAGCGTATTCTATATGCTTAAAATAATTATAATAACTATCATGAAACAAAAGTTAATTTCTTTAAAAATATTTATAAATTCTGTTGGTTATTATTTTATAATCTATATTTTACATGGACAATTTTTATCTAACATTTATTTAAATGAATATGAAATTACTCTTTCAAATAATTATTTAATCCTGGAGGGCGTTTGTTTTAGTTTATTTTTTTAAATTACCATCAATAAAAATATCAGTCTACTTGTTACGTACGTCAGTTGAAAATAAATGTTAATTTACACGTTATAAGGATAAATAAATATTCTATAGTTTCCTCATGAATTATTCATATTTTATGATACAATATCAACAAATATTTCAATTATCAAAATTCGATGGTAAATTGAAAACTGATTTTCTGTTTTATCCAAAATAATTCAGAATCACATTACGAACTAATAAGAAAATATAAAATTAATTTACACAACATTAATGTTATGGCATGAAATTGAATAGTAGTTAAATATTAGTATTTGATGTAATTAATTATTGAAATTCAAATAATTATAGAAAGAATTTAATTGAGTGAAGTAAAATAAGTTTGTAATCTGTATTAACAGTTAGAATAGATGCTTTTCATTTTCCATTTTCTTTTTTTTTTAAATAACTATGTCAATATGTAAATCCCACAACAAACGATGAATTTAAATATATCTTTCTAATGTTTGCATTTTATACAAAATTATATAATCTATTATATCGAATCTCTATTGGGCAGGAACAGCGACGCAATTTCATACTGCTAAAATGTTACATACATAAATCTGTAGCAACTTCATAATATCCTCTTTCTTTTAAATAAATAAATACTATATTATATACATACGTTGTTCATTACCTTATTTTTAAAATTCATATTAATAATAATCTCAATTATACAATATCCGAATTCATATATAATGAATAGGGCGTCGACTAGATTTAACTTGATTTCGAGAATTGCTTACACTTCCCCGTGAGTATTTTTTCTGTTTATTAAGGCAGATCATATAATTTTTCTTTAATTATTTGCTTCGTATATAGCACATAATATACTTTTTCACACGTACTCGTCGATTCAATTACAGCATATATATATATATATATATATTTTTTTTTTCTTCTTCTTTATGCATTCAATTTTATTGTTTTATTGTTTTTTTTTTAAATACTACTAAAGTGTAATGAGATCTTCGTTATTACGATCATTCTGAGTTGTCCATAAAAATGCTTATTTCACGGATCTGTAACAGATTTAAAGATGCTTTATATGTTTATGATGCTTGTTTAAGTATTTTTTAGTTTATACATGAAAATTATACGATCCTATAAACGTATAAACACAATACGTATATATAAATTTATACACTTAAAATATATAAATTTAGATTTTTTTATAGAATTACTTTTATTCTATCTGTATGTATTCTCGAATTTTGTAAAAAAAAAAAAAAAAAAAAATATATATATATATAAATATAACTACATTTAATTATTATATTTATTATGCGTTACTTTCATACGAAACACTATCGCAATCTGCAGAAGCTGGATATTTGCCATCAGTAAAAAAAAGTCCTGCACTTGGTTTTATTCTTAGAGAGACTTTTAAATCATCGATAAGTTCATGTTTATCTATCAAACGGGAATTGGAAAAGCCCGTAGCGACTAAATCATCCAATGCTTGTAAAATCATTATTTGTGGTCCTCGTTTTAATTTCTCTATTTTTGCAGAATGATACCAAGACCTTCAATTTACGATAAAAATTTTGTTCAATAAATAAAGCAACAACGATTATTTATAATTTTTTTTAATTTAATTGTAAGCCTTTCAAAATTTGAAGAATGCTGGCACTCGTTTAAAATGGTATATATATATAATAATAAAGATATATATATATATATATATATATATATATATAGATATATATCTCTTATATATATTTTCTTATATATATATATCTTATATATATATATATATATAATAATAATAAAGACATATATATATATATATATATATCTTTTTTTTTTAAATAGGTAGTTTTAAAAAATATTTGAATATATTATCTAAGATTTTGAAATATTTGAAATATAGAAATAAAATATTTTTCGCCAAACTTTTAAATTCTCTTGTATTTTCTTATGCGACGATATAATCAATCGTCGTATTTACCATAAACAACAAAGATTTTACGCGAGCTCGAATATGTTATAAATAACTTTGTGTATAATATGAAAATTTTTAAACAGGATGATCGGTTCATTAATGACAATTCGTATAATAGGCGACTTACCAAAAAAGCTTGTCGTCGAGCCTCTGCTTCGTCGCACATGTTAACACGAGCAAACAATCAACTAATTCTATATCTGCATGTGTATATAATACATGAGTGTAGTGCTGCATGGTATTGTATGTAGGCCTGAACGATGCGAGTAGGATACTTTTGCTTTAGAATCCTTGGATAACACCATAGGCCTCGAGGGTCGACATTATTAGGTAGAAGATCCAGAGCGAGAAGAGTAACAAGGAAGTGACGACTTTTGGGACGAATGGGCCGCCAAGTTCACCGCCGATCGCCGCCGATCGTCTGCACATTAGTACGACAATGACGACGCACGCCTCCGTACAGAAGAGAGTAACGGAGAAGGCCAAACTAAAGAGAAACAAGGAGACGTGCATTAGGAAATATTCATTTTGTCTCTTTCAAGTTATATTCGTTGTTATGCTTGCTCGTTCGAGCTGCTTATTTCATTGGCCTTTTAATCAATTGCATTTCTTCGTTGTATCGGTTGATTTTTCAAGGAAATCTCGGGCTACATTTTACAATTATTTACAGTATCGTGAAATCTTTTTCATCAAATATTCCATTATATTAAGTGTTCGATTTAAATTAAGTCTAAGTAAGGAGTAAATAGTGCGGATAGTATAATACCGTATATATTGGTAAAGTTAAGGATAATGTCGATCGATTTATTCTTTATTTTCTGATTAAGTTCATTGTTTTTAGAAAAAAGTTTCAATCTTGTCGCGAACATAATTGTTTTATTACATTCCATTATATAAAATTTACCTCGTATTATTTCTATATTATAAAATTATTATTCCATAAAATATTTAATTAAACCCTAATGGTCTTAAATGATAATTTTTTTCTTCCCCTACAAGTACTTAATATTAAGGCGTTAAAACTATTATTATTATTGTTTCTTTTGATAATTTCAAAATTTAATTATCTTTACAAATTATTAGCGAAATATTTAATATAAATAATATCTGATAATTACTAATTTGAGAGGTACGATTACTTGAATATTTTAATTATGAAAATAATTGTAACTAAGACATTGTATATAATGTTTTAATTTTTTTTTGTTCAAACTAAATTCATAAGTGAATCACTTAACTCGTTAACAATATTTTTCTAATGGTATATTATTATAATTTTGTTGAGTTGAGTCTTCAGAAATTTCCGAAATAAATAATCATTTAAGTATGTCGAGTCGAAAATATATTGAACGAAATGAACTGTATTCAATTTATAAAAATATAACTCTTTTGATATAAAATTTCAAATGTTATCACAATATTACATAATCACATAGATATATACATATCATTCTATATGAATCCATAAATTATATATTAATATAATTTTTAATAATATATTTGCATTATATGGTATGTATGGTATTATTATCTTATAAGTGAATATTGATTGAAACTGTTACAATACATTTATTTCTGTCAAATACAGGAAACTTATAATACTTAAATATATATATTTATTTATTTATTAAGAAAATATTAAATACTCTACTACAAAATATATTTTATTTAAAAATAATAATTTAATAAATATTATTCTCCATATAAATTCAGTATATTGAATATAGAAATAATATAAAGTGGTACATGATTATACAATTATGTTTTTATAAAATAATAGCATTACTCAAGCAATCAAGATGTATGAAGGAAAAAGAATTGTCTTTTAAATAACTTTTCTAAAATTCATCACAAAGTTATTATACTGTCTCTCTCTCTCTCTCTCTCTCTCTCTCTCTCTCTCTTTATATATATATATATATATATATATATATATATATATATATATATATATTTATATATATATTTATCATCCCAATAAGAGCCTCATTACCTCAAATCTACTGTTTTTACATTTGATTATTCATATGTTCTCCCACATACATTTTTTGTTATATAATTTACTAATATTAATACTTTCATTAGTTTATTGCGTTACTGTGAACGTCATTTGGCTGTTGTCACGTTTCCAAATAGCAAAGATAACTTCTCTGTATGTGTATATTCTTTCACGAATGATTGAAATTTTACATATTTTAAAGATAACGTCATATTAGAATTATAATTTTTTTTATATTTTAAGAGCAGTCGTAGTCAGGAATAAATAGTTAGGTAGTAAAATAAAATGGAGGTTGTGCTGTAAAGACAAAAGTTTATCTTAACTTTGAACAAAGATACTAGAATGCTCGACTTTTCTGTGGAATTGGTAAAGTTGTTGGCGACTGGAACATACTTGATTTATAAAGCACGACTACGATTAAACGATTTCATGTATATTTTAGCATAGCCAATGCGAGAAGATTGACACAAACTGATACTTTTAATATGGTTACCTTTAACATTTCTTGATTTGAAATTTAATGATTAAGGACGAAATCTACAGTTGATTGGTTGTATTTTACAAATTTTTGTTCAAATAAGTAACTATTATTTATGATACAATACCGTTATTTCTTTCTCGAATATTTTTCTGCGGGAAACTATAAGATATCACGTAGGATTTTAATCTCTAGAGTAGTTACCATTTAAAAGAGAAATATAAGAAAAAGTAGGTGATTATAATGCATCGTTACCTATGCTTATCAAATGAAAGTTACAAGCTTCCGCTCTCGTTTTCACCAAGTTTTGCAATTATCACTAGTTATATGTACTTTTAATAATCATTCTTTTGCTAAATCCAGTTTAGCTGAAATATTCTAATTAATTAAGATATTATATAATTTACTGGAAAAGTATAAAAAGTCGAATAATAATGTACTTGGTTATATCTTAATGCACATTCATCTATATATGTTAATAATAATTGTGAGATTTAAAAAATTACAAGATGAATTTTAAAATTTCTTCCCAATTATTTGAAATAATATCACAAGTTTATTATATAATTGTCTTAACAAGAATCTTTTTAAAAATGTGCTTAAATTCTATTAGAAAATGATCTTTTCATTTAATAATTTTACAAAATCAGTCAACTTTTCACATTATATGCAAATCACTTTATTTGCAAGAAGATTGATAATAAATATTTATGTAATTAATTATATTTTTCTATATTAATATCATATACCTAATAATTTTACATTACTTCATTTGTATTTAGAAGCAATTTAAGCCGACAAATTTTAGTTAAAATCAGAAAATTCGTAAAGATATGTTTTATTTAATATTAAAATATAATTATATAGTTTTTTATATTATGTTTTTATATTGTATTATTTATATTGACATAATCTCATATATTTATTTAACAATACGTAATATCGTTGAATAAAAATAAACTATATTTTTATATGGTTTGTGAGAAATTCTAAGTAAAATTACTACAAATAAATTTTCAAAATTATAACATATTATTAAAATCTAAGATTTTGAGAATCTCGTTAATTGGTGAAAAATTTCGAATTTCAAACCTATTTGGCATAGGTAAACATTCTTCATATTTCTATTCTATCAATAAAAAATCACTGCATTATAATATAATAAGTGACTCATTAATTTATAATTAATTATTTTCAAACATTGAATTTTCTAAAATTAATATAAAAAATAAAAAAAATTTCTACAATATAACGTGATTTTTTAATTAATAATTTTCTTACTTTTTTAGGTAATATTTATTTATTATTATATTCATTCTTTTTCTTTTATTATATTAATTTTTAAATTGTAATATAGTCTACAATAATTATGGTAATATATATTTAATAAAGAAAAATAGTCGACCAATAAGTGTAAAATTGTTGATTAAACGATGATACGAAATGGATGTGAATTCCAAAATATAAATGATATAGTCTAATATTATTATAATATTAATATTGCTGGATTGTGAGAATTTTGCATTAAATGAATGTCGATATATATGAAATTTTCTTTAAGAAGATGGAGCATTTTCATAGCTGATTAAGTACGGCATATAGAAACATTGTATGTATAAATATATTTTTCGTTGCTGCATTATTATTAAAAAGAAATTTTGTACTTGAATTTTGAATTGATGTATTAATTTTTTTATTTCTTTTAACACATAATTAAAGACAATTGGATTGTTTTTCTTAATAAAATATCGCTGAATTCTATGAGAATTCTGTCTATAATATTCTATCTATCTATAAAAATCTATAAAAATGTCCCAATGGATGAATATTATTTAAAGAAAGAAAAAATTTGCCTCGAGTAATATAACAATTTAACAACGTAATTTTTGTATTTCGTACATTTTTTTTAACCCCAAAGGCACGTTATGTAAAATTACTAGGAGTTTAGATCAACCGATAAAAAGTTGTACAACTAAAGTGGTGCATAAAATATGTCTTATTCCTTTATACGCTAGTGAGCTTACAATACCGAGTAGAAAGCAGTCATATATGCATTTACGCACACAGTGTTAAAGTACTCCAGGCGCTTTATTCGCTTTCTCGACTTATCGAAGTAGATGGCGATGCGAAAGAGGCGATCATCGGCTTAGAATATTGAAAAGTATTAAGCCCAACGAGATCTCGACGAGATAAGTTAAAGTCAATATCCTTTGAGGTGATAAGCACATTCCGAAGAGCTTTTTTCTGAAAGTGCTTTTTTAGGACAATCGACAAGCGCGCGTGTAGACGCACTAGAAGAACTCTTGCTGCTTACGTTGAGTCATTGTGCACGTTTTCTGCATAATCTAAACTTTCTCAAAGTTTCATCGATCTCCACGTTAACGGCATGTAAGAAAATTAGGGCAATATTTCGATTTTTAGCACATATTAAGGAGTTTCTTGTAGTTTGCTTACATAATACAATTATATTTGAAAACGTTTGAGAAAGTTCTAGTATTACATTAATGAATGCTTGACATTGAATGTTATCATGACAATTAACTAAATATTGATATTCCGTATCTTATTTGCTTTTTCAAGATATTATATTTCAAAATTATTAGGATACCAAGCTAAATTAACAATTTTAAGAATATGTTATTTATGTATGTTAATTATGTATGCTAAGTTCGTATTTACGTTTATTCTTAAATTGATTATTGCTCGGTAGTTTCTATTATCGAATATTAAGAAAAGTTTTATTTAATTCTTGGATCATTTTAGTGAATCATTTTGTAACTGCACATGTCTCTGCAAAAAATATAGTTGAACTTAATTGCTTCAATTTTTCAATGTTAATGTATATTATGAAGAATTTTCGTAAAACTTAAATTATTATATGATATTATAATTATAAAAGTTCTTCAATTATTTGATTATCAAAAATTAAAGGTTATCTAAAAAATATTTTTATTTATGTTATTGTTTATTCGTAATATTCCTATTTAACTTTGAGAATATTTAAAGATAA